TATACACACAAACACACACACGTATGCAGTACAGTATGTGCACACAATCACAGTGAGAATGAGTCACTGCTCCACAGCAGAGCTCTGACCACAGACGTGACATTTTGCTCTCATGCCTCCAAACTCTTTACAGAAGATCAGACAGGAAGGACACACCTCTCACTTTTCCTATCATCTCAACCACTTATAAACAGAAACTTTTTACCTACTTTTATCTAGAAGTTTCACCATTTGAACCCCACTTTTCTTTCAGATTAAGGCGATTTTTCTCATTCATTCTCGCACATATAGAGCTTTTTTACTTCTACCGTTCAAAGCCTCACGCTGTTTTTCTTCTGGGATCTTCACAGCAGGACAGTTTCTCTCTGATACTACGACATGAAGAGTTGGAACCGAAAGAAAAGCCAACAGATATTCATTGTTTCCTTCAACACATCCACATTGTTCCTGTTTCGAGACATTACATCAGTGAGTTTGCTGCGGGGCGAGTTGTGGTTAGTTATTTATTCCGAGCAGAGAGCGATCGCTGCATCATTATCACCTCCGATCCGCTGCCAATCCTCCATAAATAAAAACACAATAAAGGCGACCATGTTCAAATGTGGCGTTCACAGACAAGCATTGCACTGTTTAAAATCTCATTGCGAACTTTTATGAGCCCTGACCTGCAGAATATTTCAAAACTAAGCTCAGGACATAAAAGCTTTACTGCTTGAACCTCAGTAGATTTAATTTCAACACTTCTGGCGCCTTCCCAATAACCGAATGCGTGATTTAATTTATCCCTGTCATCTAGAAATCCCTCTAAATTTGAAGAAGTGGAAACTCTTTGCCGTTAAAACCTTTTTAAGCACGCTCAATGTTGCATTTGATCCGAGGGAGATGAAGGTAAAAAGGTTACCAGAGATTTATGCCCTCGTTTTAAGCGGAGACTGCTTTATTGACTTCCACTCTGGGCTGGAAAAACAGCAGAGAAGTCAGTGAGTCATTAGAGAGAGAGGGTCTGGGATGGATAGATGGATGGATGAATGAATGGAGGGAAGGGAGGAGGAAGAGGAGTCTGGACCCTGTGCAGAAAACCACAAAATTAAAGAAAGAAAGAGAAGGATGACATACTGGCTTATTTATCCATATGGTACAAATTACAGCATCTGTTTACCATCTATTTTATTTACTTTGCTGATGCTGGGCCCGGCTTGATTAACATTTTCTGTAGTGTTTGTTGTCTTCTGGAGTGGGTTTGATTGGCACTCAGTGACGGCCATTTGAAGTGAGCGTCGCGTCGCCTTTGAAGCTCTGGGGGATGAAAGCAGAGCATCCAGATATGACTGGAGGATAATCTAGAAATGAATTTTGGCTCGCCTCTGAAGGCGACCGACAGGCGACAAACATGTTACCATGTTGTTGATTAAATGTTACTTGAGATTCAGCGGCGCAGGGACATTAAACAGGGCTGGAGACTTCTAAATGCACATCAGGAAAGAAGTGAAATATGTTTGTTTAATGACAACAGGCTGTGGATGGTGGAGGAGGAGGAGAAAGAAGGAGCGCTCTCTTCTCATGCATCAGGAGGCAGACTGTTTGCAGTTCATCCTTTTCATCAGTGTTTTCCATCAAAGCTGCTTCTAATATTTCTTAAAAGCATTAAATTCAACAAAACTGTTTCTATTAATGATGCAAAATCATCAACAGAGAAAAAGTTTCAAAGTTGCAGCAAAGTCTTTACTCTGCAGGATTTCATAGGTTCATATAACTTTAGGTGTCAGTTTAGTGCAGCAGAAATTCACCTGTTTGTGTTTAATATTCAGTGTAAATTCATGTCAGAGGTAAACTGCTCGCGGCTAAAGAAAAGAACTGTTTGGCGTTGACTTTTCTCGCCAAGTTAATCTCATAAAGTAAATGTTTTGCATGTTAATCCTTTTCCGAAAAAAGAGTTGCACAAATGGAGGCTGTCTAACAAATTGTGAGAAGATTATTTTATTTGCAGTTCAGTCCTAAAATACATAAACAAATTTAGATCGATGATAGAAAATGTGGGGAGTAATAATGAGAGTTTAAAACTGAGAACATTTTGTGCATTAAACAGAAGATTAGACAGGTGATTGAATCAGGATATTAATTTTAAATTTGGTAAATACTCTGTAAAAAATATTCTGCTCCAAATCTGATAAACTGAACATTTGAGTTTAGCTTTTTGATCAACAATTTTATTATACTTGATTATATGTATTTTATATCATGACCAAATAAAGTGCATATGTAAACAAATATATGTATATTTCCCCCTATCCCTTACCCCACACTGGGAAAAAAAAAAAACAAGAAACAAAACATTATTGAAAAAAGGAAAATAAACTAAATTTAGGGACTAAGTAGATAAAACGAACAAGAGTAGGCTAAGGAGGAAAAGAAAATATATGAATCATTGGATGTAATTGAAAAAAAGTCAACAATAAAATAAAAAAATAGATATCTTACTGTGTCAAATAGATGAGTTAAAAGACAAAAGGACAAAATAAAAAAGAAACAAGTTGAATAAAACTTATTTTAACCTCTGCTTTTTATATCTGTCTGTCTGTAATGTTAGTTAAGTTTAAAATGACCTTCAATCTTAGGTCATGATAATCTGTTTTTCTTTCTCTATTTTCTTACCAATACTTTTTAATGTAATAGGACAAAATATTAAATAAAATAGTAAAATATTCTGTGATGTTCAAGGTTTACAATTTTTCCTCAAACTCTAAATTAATGCAACAAAACAACAACATCAAAACTCCAAAAAGTGCTTGAGGGTTTCATAGATCTCAAAGTGGATGACAAACACAGTTAAACTCTGGTGAGTTGAATGCACAGCTGCTGAGCTACACACTACTTTCAATTCCTATAAATACTCAAGACAGCACTGACTTTATTGAGAGTGTTAGCAACACTGACCCCTACTGGCCAAACGAGACCACTACTTCTTTCACATTTCATAACTATAAGGCAATGGTGCAGTTGAGGGGAGGTCTTTCTGAGGGTTTTTATCCTCAAACTGTTGACAGATAAACCAGAATTGAAAAGACTGCTGTTGTTTTTAGTAGATGGCTCACATCAGGGGATTTCTAAAATGAAAAAATTGACTAAAACAGTTGTCAGAGAAAGCTATTCAAACAGAGAGAGACAGCTCCACAGTATGTCTCACTGTTTTTGCTCTTTGCTGCCAGCTGTGCCTGCTGCAGAGGAAGCACCTTTAGGTTTTGGCAAAGTTCCCTCATCTCAAGCACAGTGCTTGGTTTCTGAGAAATCCTGCACACAGACACACTAAGAAAAACAGCAACACTTTTCAAAGATCAGACATACGTTCACATTCATATTCAGGAGGGAAAGACAACACAAAGACACCCTGTTATACTAAGAATATCCCCCAGCCATTTACCTCTTGAACATGAAGTTTGTGTAGCAATGTCAGCGTGAGAGTCTGGCATTCATTCTCCAAAGTAAGATGGTATTTGTAAAATTTTATTAATTTGAATGTCTGATTGCTGCAGGATCTCTATGAGGAAATTTGCAGCACAGAGTATCCAAACAAACATTTTTAGTCTGGTGAACTTAATTTCATTTCTGTTACTGATTTCATAATGAAGATTCATCTTTTGTGATTTTATTACATACCTCTATTTTGGCTGCTTCACTATCCTATTATGAGTGTTTATATTTTATTCTACCTCCAGTGGTTCCTCATCAAGACCTTGTGGTGGTATTTATAGACTGAGAGCTGGGAGATTGGGATGTGAAGGGGGGGTGAAGTGGTCCCTTTGTATTAATTTCAGTCTTTTTATTTTCATGTATAGCACTTTCTGTAACATTATTGTTGTATGAAAGGTGCTGTAATGCAGTGGAATATTACAAGGTTCAACATCTAGGATCCATTATAAGTGACTTTACAAAGTAAAGTAAGTATAGGAAAATAGCCTAAAGTGGACAGACCGTCTTACAATATTGTTTATTTCTGTTTTGAGTGAGGGGCAGGTAAAATAAGCTTTGTCTTCTACCTGCTCACTTAAGGTCATGTGCTGTGCTACATTTGTTAAATCTCTCTTGTATTTATGGAAATGCTAAAAAACGGCCGTGACTGGAACAAACAAAAACGAAAACCAGTAAAATCATCAAAAATTCTACCCAGAAAACCTGCTAAGATATAAGAGGAACATGTCTGTTCAAGGGAGGTCTCCAAAAACAACAGGAACTAAAAGTTACTCTCAGCATATTTGAATTTTCTAAATTTTAATGACTCATTTTTATAACTCATTTGATACAATAATAACTCATCAACTTAGTTTGATATATGAACCCATATATGGTGAAGAAGACATTTGAAAATCTTTCTTGTGCAAAACAGTACTGAAAAATAAAGTAAATATAGATGAGTATTTAATGTACTATATTATATATTATAATATATAATATAGTAACAGACAAAAGTTTAAAAATAACATACAAACATGATAAGTGAATCATAGCATATCTGACAGGTGACTATATTTCTAAAACCGTTAATGTTCTCAGTCACTTTGATCGTTCTCACTATGGTAATTCTATTTATTAGATGTAAATGTAAATGTTCTTTATATCTGCAGCCCTTTACAACAACCCTTTTTGGTGGGCTTTACAATACAAATAATAAAAATAAATAAATAAAAACAATATTATTATTATTAATATAACCTTTTTTTAACCAGGTTTGTCCCATTGAGATCCAAGATCTCTTTTGCAAGAGAGACCTGGCCAAGAATGGGAGCACATATAGTTTCAATAAAAAGCAATAAAAACAATAAAAGCAATTAAAAAATAATAATAAAATAAAGTGTCACTAAGCTACTGGGTAAACAAAAGTACCACCATCAAACCCACCCTCAAAATTAAAAAAAAAAAAAAACAAATAAGTAAGTGTTAAATTTGTTAAAAAGGCTTTATAATAGTCCTGGTTACTCTCATGTCATAATAGAGGAGGTCGACCCCGTCAGCTAATCTCTCCCCTTCCAGTGCAGATGTGATGTAACTTTACATCTGCTCATGTCCTGGAACAGTTTCCGTGACCATCGCAGTCGGAGCAGGTGTGCTGTGGAGTGTAGAGAGCTGATCCTCAGTCAGCTGTTAACGGTTTTCTGCGATGCTGCTTGCGTGCGAGTTGTGTGTCGCCCTGTGAGGAGTGCGCATGCGTCCAATGAGAACGACCCGGTGTCAAAGAGAATGCGACAAAGCAAGATAGATCCAGGTGTGCTGCTTCCGATTTAGAAAGCATCAACTCGGGTTAGTTGAAGTAGGTCAACTTTCTCAGAACTTTACATATATTCTCAACATACTATAAAGTAATTGTGTTTTGCCCTTTGGTCTAGCTACTTTTTCATTGGGATTGTTATCAATTACTGTTACATCCAGTATTCAAACAAGGGTTTTTATGTAGACCCACGCATTTTTTAAGTATCTACAATGCAGAATAGAGGTTAAAAATATTTCCTTTAATCCAAAATATTTGCCCTCATTTCTTTTAATTTTGTAGAAATGAAATAAAACATTCGCCCATAATCAAACGATGACTCATAGTCATAGTTTATTATAAATCTTTTGAAATCTTGTAGACTTTTTTGGGTGTGTAGAAATTGCCAAAAATCAGTTATACAGTCTTCAGATGATTTTCACAAAACAAGAAATTTATGCTTATGTCTTTTTTTCATTTTTGATTAACCTTTTATCTTTTATCTGTCATCTCTTATCTCGTTTACCTCTATCTTATTTTGGCTTTACTGTCTTTTTTGGTTTTGTTATACTTTCACTCTTTTATTGTTTTATCTCTTGCTCATTTCTGTTGCTCTATTTTATCATTACTATTATTATCAGTACTACCTGTTATTATTTTATTATCATTGTTGATATTGCCTTTTATATTTACCATCCTTTTTCTGCTTTCAGACCCCCTTTTAACTGCATTTACTTTTTTCTGAACTATTTTATGTTTTTATTTCGGTTCTCATGGTCTCATTTTATGTTGCATGGTTCTTGTATTGTCTGGTTTCCTCAATTCCATTTTAACTGAACTCTTTGTTTTTATCTGTCTTTTTCCATGTGCTCTATGACTTTATTTGTATAGCACTTTGTAAACTTCTGTATTTAAAAGTGCTATACAAATAAAGTTATTGTTATTATTATTATTGTTATAATTATTTATTTTTTAATTTTTTTAATGATCAACAGAAAAAAACTCATGCATACTTTTAATGGACACTCATTTGAACTTACTTCTTAACAAATTTATATGAGGAATCCTCGGGACCTTTCTTATGGCACGGATTGAACCAAAACTGAGATTTCAACAGTTGAGTGTCGTTCAGTTAGTAGCCCTTTATTGCCTTTTGTATCATATTTGATACACACTTTTACGATACTTCTATCAAATAAATATGATAAACAAATGACTAAAAAACACCTTAATACAGCCCGATAAATTATAAAAATGTCCTCTTGTGGTTTATCAGTTTCCAGAAAACATCTAATGTATAAAACAAGATAAATAAATATATTTGTTAAATTTCAAGGACATTTTGATTTTTCGGTTTTCCGTAGTATGTAAAATAAACATTTCAGCTCCAAAAAAAATTGAATTTTCTGGCCATAATTTGGGGTTTCAGGCATTAAAAGGGTTAAAGTTACACTTTGGAAAACTAGCCTTGCTTGTAAACATATTAAGTAGGCATGGGAGAAAAAATCAATTCACATAAATATTGCAATTTTTGTTTACATATTTTAAATGAATTTTTTTGTTCAAAATCTTTTTTTTTTCAAATGTAAAAAGAAATCGTAAAAACGGACTTACATTTGACGTTTAACTTTTGGGGAAATATGGTTCCTGGAATAGTCAGTAGACAATCATAAACATTCAACTGCCCAACTGAGCATTTTTTGGTCTAAAAGAGGTCTAATAGACGTCTAAATGTAGTCTAGACAACTGGTCTAAAATCAGGCTAAGTTTTCAGACGTCTAAATTTAGACCAAGTTTGGACTAGCCGGCTAACAGAGATCTAACTGTATATTGCTCAACGGCTATCATAATTATTTTGGTTTAGTACTTGAAGATCAGTTATGCAACTCACAGTTGCTTTTTGAAATAAATGCTTATCAAATAGCAGGTTGAAGTGCAACATCTAAATTCCGTCTACAAATGTACAGAATCGAGACGGTTGAAATTAGGTCTAAAAAAATAACTAGACGTCTAATAGCCCTCTATTGCTCAGTGGGTGTTTCACCGGTGTGAAATCGAAAATATCGTAGAATCGCAATTTAAATCGAATCGGCATCCAAATAATCGTTGAAGAATCGAATCGGGAATAAAGCATGTCGTCCCAGCCCTAATTTTTAGGGGCATGAGTGGGAAACCCGCCTCCGTGGCTGAATGTAGAAGCAGGGAATGATCTTGCTGTTGAACTAAATGTTGTATCTTTGACTCAGACAGGACGGACCCGCTGCTGCTGCTGCTGCTGCTGCTTGCGTGACTTGTAGCGTACGTGACGCCTCCCGCACCACCTCCTCTTCTCTCCTCCCTTTGTGCGGTTGACAAGCCCCTTCTCGGTCAGGACTGGAACACACTGAGGTACGTGATGTATCCTTCCTAGAAATGCGACACTCTTGACGTTTTGTTTTTCTGCACTGCTCTTAGCTTCCCTGCTTATTAACCTATGGGCTCTGACCCTCATTGAGTCCGTTACTGTCGGACTCACCAGCTCGTTTGTAGCCGGATGAAGCTCGACGTGCAGCAGCGGCGATGAGAGGCCCGAAAGCCGACTTGCTGTTAGCTTGTCTCGCGGTGCGGTCATTTGCTCGTGCAGGTGCTACGGTTCCTCCTTATTCAGTCAGCTTGCTAGCTATAAAGAAGCTTAACTAGCCATTGGCTCTGACCTCTTGACCTACGGCCTAGTGCCTGTCCACCTGTCCTTAGGAGACACTTGCCCGCTGTCCACCTTGATAGTTAGCTTACATGCTAACAGGTTAGCAGGCGAGGGCATGGAGATGATGATGATGCCTTCACTTTCCTTCTCAACCTCCTGGTCAGATAGCTCCTACTTTAGTCGTTTTAAAAGGGGACAAATCTTTTATTTTACATTTGTAGACCATGACCTTTATGTAGAATAAAAGTGTAAAAATGTGTGTGTTCTTAAACGCACCTGTAGTTAGTCTGAGTTGAATGTAAATGTTTACTTTGGTGTTGCTTTAAGGCATCCCTGGAAAGAAGACTCAAGTCCTGATGAGACCCTATCTATAAAACATAATTTTGTGGGCTGTTAGATCGTTTTAAACGATTTCATCAGATAATTTTGTGCTGAAAAACAGTAACAGAGCCCAGACTTGCTGCAAAATCTAATGTAAGTTCCTGTTAAATAACAAACCATCTTCAAAGTTGTTTGTTTTGACTTTTAAGAGATATCTCTGACTTAACCTAAGCTTGATTAGTCACCCATATGATGATAGTGTATCTAATCACAGGATGGGATGGGGAATTGTCACCCCTGACTCTTGAGATAAAACCGTTGTATCAATGGCATCTCATATCTACATTTAAATTTAATAATGCAGTAGTATAGCCCTCTTAAAGGGATATTCCAGAGTAAAATGAATTTAGGGTCAAACACACCGTAACACCGAGTTAGACACCCCCTCGAGAGATGAATGTTGCCGACTGCTTGCTTCTCTAGTTATACCAACTTTAGTAACGACCACACGCTAGCAATACAGAGAGCCACATGCTCAACCAAAAAGTCACTCTATAGTCACAAATAATGCTCAGAACAGCACCTAACTTCATCAACAGTACATGTAGGGTCCCAGCCACAGCACTAGCCATCAAACATCTTTTTAACTTTGCCTAATTTCTTTAGCAAAGAGACTAAACACCACTCACCTACTCTCTTCCAGCAGCCGCTTGTTTGTAGCGAGACCTCAGGCCAGTCCATTACGGACTGCTGCGGGGTGACGCAGCTCAAGGAAGAACATTTGTGATCATTTCTATATCATTTTCTTTAAGTAATAATCACCATATTAATCATTTTGCACTGCAGACACGGTAGTTCTTTTGCCTTAGCGTCTCAGTCTGATTGCAATTCCATAAAGAAATGATCAAAAATGTTCTTCCTTGAATAATGTAATAATTTAATAGCGTTCCTGTCTAAATTCATTCATCTTGTCACGACTTCATGGAGACCTTTTGCAGTGGTGCTAACAACTTTAATTCAGCACTGTTTTATGGAATTACTGTCTTCTTTATCTAATCAGATACTGTGGTGTATCAATGTATGATTAACTTGCCATCCATGGATTGTCGCTGTGTTGTAAAAGTACTTTCATCTTGGGCAATGTTTGACTGAGTGACTATGTTAAGGGTTTTTCCAAGTGCCAGCTATTCACCAAACAGGCTACTAGTTACTCAGATACAGGCGGCTACTTCCTCTATTGTGGATTTAAGTAAAATATTTTGAATTACAAGCTGTAACCTGTTTTTCAAGTACAGTTTAGAAGTACTCGGCTCTGTTTTCTATCAATACAAGCATGAGAAAGATGCCTGTCTGTAGACATGGCTCTGTAAGAATTTTGTTTAGCTGCTACACCCTTAACTAGTCACTTTTTCCAGCTGGTTTATCACTCCATATGTTAGTAGACAGCCCCATTGTTGTTGTCATATGCAACTAACTCTACATCTGCATCCTCTGATATTTTCTGCCTTCAGCCCTGTGTGAAAGCCATAAAGCTGCTCCGGCACAGTTGGGTGTTTTGGCAGCCTATGCATGTGTGTTAGCACAGGGTTAGTGGCTTAGTAGACAAGCTATGTGTTTACTAGCTCTGGAGACAGATGTGTGACATTAGTCCACTACTTCCTGTCCAATCGCCTCCCTGCGTCCATACTCACAATTAGGCTGGGTTCAGAGGGCGGTGTGGGGGAGGGTTTCCCTTGGGATTCCAAGGCGGCCTAAAGCAGGACATATGCCCTGCATTTATTATTGGGCCCTTTTAAATTAAGGATAACATGTTTGGTGCAGCAAAGAATAGTCTAGGCCCTGATGTGCATCGGGTCATGTAAGTGAAAATGCAATTAGTGAGAGAGGGTGGAGCAGAAGAGACAAGATGGGGTTGCCAACAAACCTGATGGAACAGGCTTTGAGGACGAGAATGACACAGGAATGTTGAACTCGTATAACACCAAAGTGAAGACTGACTGATGTTGTTTTGATTTTATTTTTAGGTAGACAAGTCCCCTTCTGTAATGTTGATTTTCCAACATCAACGAGAAATTGTTTTACTGCCTTTTGAGGAACATTGTTTTACCCTTCCATGTCTACTTTTACAAATATCACCATTTCATATTACTGTGGCATAACATTAAAAAATTCTGAGTCTAAAAGTTGCAGTTCACTTGTCCACTATCAGTACACACAGGCATGTTATCGATACGCTTGTTCAGCAGCTGTTGCCTCACATCTATTGTGCTTTTGAAACGTAGCTCTATATTTACTTTATTCTAATGATGAAGTAGACGTGTCTTGCACAACAGGCTGCTCCAGAAAATAAAGGACAAAGACGTGCACTCATACTCACACACGGTCAGCAAACAGCCCGCTTTGTGCTTCTGTCTTTGGCCGTCATTGTTCTTTCCAAACTTGGCCTCCTCTTCCACTCTGAAACATCAAGTTTGTCTACCCGAAGTTGATTCAGTGCTACGAGGACTTTACTTTTCCTGACCTGTGTAGTACTTTGAATCAGTACATGCATGAGGGGAGGGATTAATGTACACTCACCGGCCACTTTATTAGGTACACCATGCTAGTAACGGGTTGGACCCCCTTTTGCCTTCAGAACTGCCTCAATTCTTCATGGCATAGATTCAACAAGGTGCTGGAAGCATTCCTCAGAGAGCTCGGTCCATATTGACATGATGGCATCACACAGTTGCCGCAGATTTGTTGGCTGCACATCCATGATGCGAATCTCCCGTTCCACCACATCCCAAAGATGCTCTATTGGATTGAGATCTGGTGACTGTGGAGGCCATTTGAGTACAGTGAACTCATTGTCATGTTCAAGAAACCAGTCTGAGATGATTCCAGCTTTATGACATGGCGCATTATCCTGCTGAAAGTAGCCATCAGAAGTTGGGTACATTGTGGTCATAAAGGGATGGACATGGTCAGCAACAATACTCAGGTAGGCTGTGGCGTTGCAACGATGCTCAATTGGTACCAAGGGGCCCAAAGAGTGCCAAGAAAATATTCCCCACACCATGACACCACCACCACCAGCCTGAACCGTTGATACAAGGCAGGATGGATCCATGCTTTCATGTTGTTGACGCCAAATTCTGACCCTACCATCCGAATGTCGCAGCAGAAATCGAGACTCATCAGACCAGGCAACGTTTTTCCAATCTTCTATTGTCCAATTTCGATGAGCTTGTGCAAATTGTAGCCTCAGTTTCCTGTTCTTAGCTGAAAGGAGTGGCACCCGGCGTGGTCTTCTGCTGCTGTAGCCCATCTGCCTCAAAGTTTGACGTACTGTGTGTTCAGAGATGCTCTTCTGCCTACCTTGGTTGTAACGGGTGGTTATTTGAGTCACTGTTGCCTGTCTATCCGCTCGAACCAGTCTGGCCATTCTCCTCTGACCTCTGGCATCAACAAGTCATTTCCGCCCACAGAACTGCCGCTCACTGGATATTTTTTCTTTTTCGGACCATTCTCTGTAAACCCTAGAGATGGTTGTGCGTGAAAATCCCAGTAGATCAGCAGTTTCTGAAATACTCAGACCAGCCCTTCTGGCACCAACAACCATGCCACGTTCAAAGTCACTCAAATCACCTTTCTTCCCCATACTGATGCTCGGTTTGAACTGCAGGAGATTGTCTTGACCATGTCTACATGCCTAAATTGATTCAGTGCTGCGAGGCCTTTACTTTTCCTGAACTGTATAGTACTTTGAATCAGTACATACATGAAGGGAGGGATTAATGTATATGATGGAGAAATTATTGGCAAGGGTGTCAATACAGAAACCCTAATTCACACTGTATCAGGACAGGCTGACATGATTGTTGCTGACCTCTTCTTTCTGTCGCCTTCCTGTATCAGCTCTGCTTTCTCACCCCAACACATCACATCTGATCCGTCAGATTGCTCCTCTGTGCGCTGTGCTCACCGTGCCTCACCCTCATAGTAGCCGTCCGAAAGTCGTGAGACCCGAGAGTGGAGACAGGAGGGGTGTTATTTCGCAGAGGGACTGTCTTATTTGTGTCCTGTCACCCTTGTCTCAGTCACCGTCTTGATCCTCTTTTTACTCTGTGCAGAAAATGGCTGTACCTCCCACCTACGTTGACCTTGGAAAGTCTGCAAGGGATGTCTTCACCAAGGGATACGGTAAGTACCAAGCAGCCAACAGCACTCACTTATTTTATCAACGATTACAGCAATGGGACTTTGAGGCAAAAGCTTTTAATTTCAATACAATACCACCATGATGTGTAGCTAATTATAACAACAAATGTGTCATAAAAGTGACACAGTAGTTTAGAAAGTGGTTCCTGTGATAACTGTCACTGAAGCTAAAAAAAAAACACACGTTTGAGATAGAAAATATGTTTTTTTGTTAGCAGAAAATCTGTGAAATGCAATTCGCTGACTGAAATTTGATTCACAAGAGATTTTCATCCATGCCTAACTCACAGAAACAAGAGCTTGAACTTCTGTCTTAGTTTAAAACAGTATCATGTATGTGACAAACGTCCTCCAAAACCAAAAAAGACATTTTGCAATTTACACATATGTACTTGACACCCTCCTGTGACTTTTTGTGAATTGCACCTTTAAAGCAGAGCCTGTTCACGGCTTGTAGTGTGTGAAATTTTACAGACATCGTATCAGAGATGTAGGTACAACGTTTAAGGCGGAGTAATGGAGATCGAAGTAATTAGTTGCCTCTAATTGCTGAATAAAATCTTGGTTAGTCATCCACCTGTCCGAAATCAGCTGTTTTTATAGATCAAACATCAGAATTTCTTTCACTTATTCCATCTTATCACTTTCATCTAGGGCTGGGCGATATGGCCTCAAATCAATATCACGATATATTGATCAGTTCACCTCGATAACGATAAATGGACGATAACTACTCCGCAAGCTGCTCACCGCCTCCCACATTAACTTCGTCTACTTCAGCCGCTACAACTTTTGAACCGTCCTCCATCTCCCTACCTGTCTTTCTCTCTTTGTTACGGACAGTGTCTTAAACGGACACGAGACCATTGCCTACCTACACACATCCAAAACCAACTCTTATTTATTTATTTTTTTGACACTGAATATACTGATATGGGCAAAAAGACATTGGGTATTGTCGTAAATTTTGGTATCTGTAAATTTTCGGTTTATCGCCCGGCCCTACTTTCAACAGACTTTTTCTTTCTCTGCCAGTTTAAGAAATATGGGGTATTTTGTCTGCTACACTCTGGAGGAGCCTTCTTCATGTAACACAGGAGAATAGCTAATTTCTTCACAGTCATTGTGCAAGCCTAACCCGTCCTTACTCCCAAACACAAACTCGTAAAAGAAAACAGTGGCTGTAAAGTTTTTCAGTAAAGCTACCTTAAGCACAAACCTGGCAGTTATAGTGGATGCAGCTGGGGTGTGTTCTGTATATACTATACACACACAGAGCTGAACTCCAGGAGTTATTGAATGATGGTCATAATATATCAAGGGGGTTCCTGTTGCTGCTGCTGCAAAGTGATTCACATTTTCCAAGAAGAATGAGTCACATCGAGGCTGTGGGCTGCGCTGCAAACTGAAGCAGGGAACATTTGTAGACCATGACCTCCATAGAAAAGCCTCAAAACAGAGCCCACTTCTGATGCTGAGAACTGATCCTGTAGCTCTAGATGGAGATATACAAAGAAAGATTGAATAGTGAGAGGTGTAGTAAAAAGGAGGCTGGGGTGAATGAGAAATGTACACCAAGCCTGGACGCACATGGACTTTGATGTTCGTGTGAAGTACGGTTTAGCTGAATCAATTGATAGCTTTAATGTTTTAGAAGCCCATGAATGAGCAAGTAGCCTGGAGCTGGGATCTGCTCAACCAACCTGCGGTCTATATTTCATAACTGACAGCTCTAATGTTCTCACAGACTCTACAGTAAATCAATGCAAGAGTTCAGTCAGTGTCAAATGAAGAGCTTTAAATGTGCTCTGGAGGCTGATAAAGCGGTAGATCGCGTATCCAAGGGGTTGTTCTTTGAAGGTGTGCTAATGAAATATCTATGGAGTAGAGTTTGGCATGGAAAGACCACCCACATTGACTTTGAACAGTCTTTTAGATCCATGTCCAGGATTCTGATTTACTTAAATGATTGTATATATCATGTTGGATGTTTTAGATTTAAGTCCACACCTGAAATCTGTCTGACCTTCTTGTTTTAGGTTTTGGGCTCATCAAGCTGGACTTGAAAACGAAGTCTGAGAATGGACTGGTAAGTTGTTGGCAGTCATTATCAGTTTACAAGAGGCTCCTTACTGGTCACCTGATTTGCTAAACTTTGTCAGGACATCCTGCCCTTTTCTACCGGATATGTTTGTTTTATCTTCACAGCAGGTCCAGAAATGAATTCTGTGAAAATTATTTCCCAAAATGTGATGCAAACATCAAGTTGAAACATGTTTTAGTTCCACATTTAGCAGTCCGAGTATCGTGAACAACAGCTTGTCGCCCTTACTGTCATCTGCAGGAGTTCACCAGCACAGGCTCTGCCAACACTGAGACCAGCAAGGTCGCAGGATCCCTGGAGACCAAATACAAGTGGGCAGAGCACGGACTGACCTTCACAGAGAAGTGGAACACCGACAACACTCTGGGGACAGAGATCACTCTGGAGGACCAGGTGTGTTTTGGGATTTGGGTGCCAAAATAATTCAAATATGGGTTGAAAAATGTTGTTTCACCTGGTGCTAAAGTATCAGCTGCCTTTTGTTGTAGTTTGGTATCGTGTAATTTCATTTGCTTCTTCTTTGTACCGTCTCCACAGTTGACAAAGGGGCTGAAGCTGACGTTTGATTCCTCCTTTTCGCCTAACACCGGGTAAGAAGCGCCAAATAGACTCTTCGATCTCCAACTGATAGGCCTTTACTACTCAGTGAAATAAATGAATTTCATTGTTATGTTATTTCGAAGTGAAGTCATCTGCCTCTTCAGAAACATAGACAGCGCAATGGATTATTTCATTAAACACGCAGACACGTAAGCTCCTTAATAAGCTGAAATACAGTTAAGCAACATGGGTTTGATTAAATAAATACATCAGTGATCTACAGGAGGTGCACACCTGCCAATTAGATTAGTTAGCTAGCTTAGTCAGCTGACCTGCCATGAGTAGGTCACCAAGATAGTCACGGAGGAACCCTTTAATTTGGATAAATAAAGAGCAGAGAGCACCTTTATTAGACCGGGCCCAGACTGCTGAGACTTCAAACTAAGGTTCAAGATGCTCATGAGGAGTATCCTAACACAAATAATGTTCAACATGTGCTCTATCTGAGATCTAAAGGCCCTTCACTCATGACAGGATACTATTAGGATTATTGTTTGTGCCAGAGGAAGCAATGTTGGGTGATCCCGTTTGACCTCACGGGATTTCATGGGGCAGGAAACAAACTCAAGGCTGACTAGAAAAGAGACAAAAACAAAAGCACAAGTCGTAACAAGTCTGAGTCGAAATGCGGTTGAGTGTAGCTAGTGAAAGTTGTTGACAAGTTTTCAGCACGGTCTATTTTCTGCTTTCAAATCTAAACTTTTCCTCCTTACATCAGTGTTCAGCTCTCTGACGGCGGCTTTCAAACCAGGATACAGAAGGGTTGAGAGTACAGGAGGAGTCTTTTAAACTTCACTTATCAACTCAGTCCACTAAATATAAAGTTTAATTTGAGTGGTAAACCCTCACCGTCATCTTCAACGTGTAATTTTCACATCACTGTGGCGTGAACTTCAGGTATAGGCGCTGAAAGTAAACAAACCGTGGTCGCGCCAGGCCCACAACATGAACAAGCAGATGAAGGGGGGATAACACCGTCTAATCTGTCACGCTTAATCTAGCGCTCTCCGGGTTTCTGAGACGGTAGCAACCTGCTCATGTTTAAACTTGACACATGTGACAGACACAGACGCTGCCTGCACAGGGATCAGTTATGCTGTGTGTTTAAATGAGGGGTTGAATGCAAGTGTTTTATATCAAACATTAATCCTGGACAATGAGGAAGCGGTGACAGGATGATATCTTTGGGTCATGCGACTGATAACCCCACATTCTGCGATGTGACTAGTGTACAGATGGATATCTCCATTTTGGCGGTAAAAAAAGCTTGTATTTGTACCTGATCGTCTCAGTCGTGTTGTGTCTTCAGCTCGAGGAGAACCTGACCTTCTATTAATCACACGCTCTCTCTCTCCCCCTCTAATCCCACCAGCAAGAAGAGCGGCAAGATCAAGACGGGCTACAAGTGCGACCACATCAACCTCGGCTGTGACGTGAACTACGACATCAACGGTACAGCCATTCACGGCGCGGCGGTGGTGGGCTATGAGGGCTGGTTGGCCGGCTACCAGATGACCTTCGAGGCTGGCAGGAACAGGATCACCCAGAGCAACTTTGCTGTCGGATACAAGACCGACGAGTTCCAGCTGCATACGAATGTGTAAGACTGAAAACTGTCAGGAGTGGTTCATGCACTCCTACTTTAGACCACATACTGGTATATGGAGATGTAACTCTGGACCCATGTGGCCCCTCTTCCTCTGGTGTCAGATGTATAGGCGGGTGCATATATGAAAAAAAAAAAAAACACCAAAATGACATGGTCTAAACATGTGTCAGTATTCCTGGTGTAGAAGGAATACAAAGGAGTAATGGTCATTTTAAGGACCTGGAAAAAACACATGGTGATATTTGAATTTTTAGGGGTGGTGAGAGTGATAAAAAAAAGGGATATCCAAAGTCCCCTCCTTCCTCCCTCCTGACTCTAGGATGTCAACAAAATAAAACAAGAATTTTGGGGCCATTGTTCAGTTTTCGGTTCTGGAAATGTATGCAAATTAGTGCATATTTTATTAGATATTGCTACATTTACATATTCAAACATAACATTCCACACAACTTGTAATACAAAAAATATTTGTCTTAATGTAAGTTATAAACATGAGAAGTTTCATGGTGATATCTGTGATTTAAAAATTTTACCCTATTCACCTGGGGTGTCTCCCCGGGCTTCCTAGCCATCATAGACGCCATATTGAAAATGACAGCTTTCTAGAGGTCAAACTTTGGTAAACTTTTAGTGTGTTATTAAGGACATCTAATACTATAAAAAACAGCTGAGAAACATTTTGTTAGAATTTTTTGGGGTCAGGTCATATTTGCACCTGACTAGTACTAGAGTTTATAACTTTAGGGCTGTTTGTAGATTGAATGTTTACTCCATCATACAGATTCTTACCTCCTGCTTTAGTCTAAACACCTTCAACTCATTTTGGACGCTTATTTTTATCAGTATTGTGTAAATCTCGCTGTGTTTAAAGCCAAAAATAGTGAAAATAAGGTTCCTGTGGTGTCAAAGAAGTTACCAGGTTTAATCGTCTGTATTTGTGTGATTCCAGACATCTGACCTTAATGAGACCAGAGTCTAAAACAGTTTTCTTTTTCTTGTCTGGCTGACTGACTTGTTGCCCATTTGGCTGTCTGCCTGGGACCCAGGTGCCTGGCAGTTATTTTTACTCCCAGGTGATGGGATTTACTATATTGTAAGTGAGGTGAAGTGAGTTGTTGGCAGACATAGAGTCCTCAGTGAAATGGCAAAGTGAGGTTTGGGGTCAGACAGGGAGAGACTGAGTGGGAGGGACTGGTGACGGTGTCTTTCTTTCCCCCTGCCTTACCACTGGCAGAGCCTGTCAGACTCAATTTACAGCTGGTGTTGGTGTGAGGTCAGACAGAGTTTAATGAAGGCTTTACATCGGTCACATGTATGACACAGAGCAAGGTGTTGGTGTTGTTTCCTAAAACATAAAAACCATGATTTGAAATGATCACATGTAGAAAAGTGAAAGTCAGTTGATCTTCTGTTCTGCTCTTCTACCTCAGAAATGACGGGACTGAGTTCGGCGGCTCCATCTACCAGAAGGTGAATGACCAGCTGGAAACAGCCGTCAACCTCGCCTGGACTGCTGGAAACAGCAACACCCGCTTTGGCATCGCTGCAAAGTATCAGATTGACCCTGATGCATCCTTCTCTGTGAGTAGTGTGTAACCTGCGAGAGTAAGAGGGGGGGAGGAGTCGTAGCACAGTCTGACCTTTGATAATGGCCGCGTGGGGATTCCTCTTTCATCCTATTGCCTCGTTAGCAAGTTAAAAGTGCAGAGTTGTGGTCTTGAACTCGCCTCCTTGAAAAAAAGAGTGTGCTTGCATGCAGTTAAAAACAGTCATTTGCAGAAATTTTGTTTATTTCTTTGAAGGCCTTTGAATAACATTTGGTTTTTGATAGAAAATGGAGATGCATGACAACTAGTCATGAGGTTACACAGTTCAAATCTAGCTCACAATCTTCTTTTGCATGAGCTGCTGAGCTGACCAACTTCAAAAAGAATGGATTTATACATACATAACTGTGAAAACATCAGTTCAGTTCAGCTGAGTAGTATCGACAGTAAAATGAACAACAGGAGGAGTCACATAAGTGCAGAGATCACACCTGAAGCAGATTATCTTCAGTTTAACAGTCATATATTAATGTCAGTGTCTCTTTATTGACATTTGGGCTAAACTGAGCTCATTTTGAGGGGGAAAGTCGCATATGTGAACACAAACAGCCAATATTATCACTCCAACTTCACCAGCTCTTTTTCCAACCAGCGCTCAGTAAAATTTCTATGCAAAGTCAGGTTGAACCAGCATGACATTTAATGCGCTGCAAGCTAATGCAGGAGCATATTGTACCATGTGATACTAACATTAAGTTCTTTCTCCCATAATTCTTTCAGAAAACAGGTGTACTAGATGTAATTTTAAAGGAGTGTAAGTGTATTTGTTTGTCCTGTATGACTTATATCTGTTTTCTCTACACAGGCCAAAGTGAACAACTCCAGCCTCGTGGGCCTGGGCTACACTCAGACTCTTAAGCCAGGTGAGTTTCTAGTTCAGGTTTCAAGTCTGTAACGCTGACCAGGTAAACAAAGATAAATAAAAGCTATCAAAATAAAATTTACAAGCTAAAAGAGAAACACATAGGAATAAAAGCCACAATCAACATAAACTTTCACAAAAATGTCTCAGAAAAGTTTGGTTTAGTAATCAACCTGTATAATATAAATGCTGTTGAGACTGAGATAAGCTTCAAATGACCACATTCACCACACTTTTCTGAGCATTACCTTACTAGATGTGTCTCTTTCTGTAGGCATCAAGCTGACTCTCTCCGCTCTCCTCGATGGAAAGAACATCAACGCTGGCGGCCACAAGCTCGGTCTCGGCCTGGAGTTCCAGGCATAGGAGGATGAGGCACACGCTCTTCTACTCCTCCCAGCACACATGCATTCCCCACCAAAAGAGAAAAAAAGAGAAAAAATAATAATACCCAAACCTTTACCGATTAGCTTGCCCTCACAAAACCCTTGTTTCCTCTAGTAATGCTTCAGCTGGAAGCGAGACAGCATATAAAGGTCAAAATCATTCCTGCGATGATCTACCACTTTTAAAGGACCACTTAAAGGGGATATTATATTGTCAAAATACAGAGCCAGTGTACAGAACAAAACTACCATGGAGAGTTTGATCTTGAATTGTGTACCTTGCAAGGCAGAGGCAGCCTTGAGTGCATCCATGTTGGCCTCACTCTTTGTTGCTTCACTACATTCTAACTTGATGCTTTAATTTGTGTGTCTCTCTGCTTTCCAACGCAGAGAAAAAAAAAGGAAAAGTAAACACCATCAGCCCGAAAATGCATTAAGGGCTCCACACGTTCAACATACAGTTCAGTCGTTACACCACCGGATGGTGCTGTTACATTGCATCATGAAGCACTCCTGCTCAAAAGTTGCAGCGGTGAATACTGTCTTATTTCCTCACCTCTGCACTGGAGAGCTCTAGATATATTATTATATTATGGGAAGGGTTAGTGGTCCCTGATGTAAGCAGCTGTCAGTAGCTCTGAGACACACTACACCCCAAATGTGTACATTCTGTGTTTTTCGTCTCACTTGTTTATTGTGTCTGTGCATTTGGTGTGAAACATGTCTTTTGTTACATATAGCAAAAAGAGAGTCTTATTTTATTGACGGTCTTAAATAGTTTATTCCACCTGTGAAGTCTTATGAAGGTGAAGATCTGTCAATTGGAGCAAACAGAAGGAAAACCTATCATGCACACATTTAACTCTGGAGGAGAGTTACGGTTCTCCTTCGAAGGAGGACGACGATGACAAAATCATGGAAACAGTGGACAGAAAATGGTAGTCTTCCACGACTGGTTATGGGAGTCATGCTTAGTGTAATTGACAGTATTGTCATTCCCTGAATTAAATAAAGGACATCTTGAACCAGCTTTGAGTTTTATTGCTCTTTATTTTTGTAGATGACCTCTTGAAATGATCTTTTACTTTTACATTTAGTGTCAAACTGACAGAAAACCTCAAATAAAACCAGTAAACACAGACAGTCGTGCTGAAAAGATACATAAATGTGATCTGAAAAATTCAGAGCAGTTAAACCTGTTTCTTGATGTGTAAAAGCTGCTGCCCTTGTGAATACATGACATCTTTTTCCCCATTATGCGTGTAAGCTCTGGTTTACATCTGACTTTACCCTCTAAGTAAACAAATCACCGGACTGATGATAGAAACCTGCAAGAGAAACGGATGTTCGAAAGGCTTAGCTGTGAATTTATGCTTCAAGAGTTTGGAGTTAGAACAGAACGTTCTTCTCGAAGTTAATGGGCGGGTCTACGAATAGGACATTGTAAGCATCTTAAAACAAACAATCACTGAGGCGAACCTATGTTTCTATTCAGTGAACCACACCTGTTGACACTCACTGTCGAGCCGAAGTTCAAATTACTTTATTGGCATTTTGGTTTGAACAATCAACGATGCTTTAAAAAACAAATCCTATTCGTGTTGTTTATATTACAAGTATTTCACATTTGTTTTACAGAATAAACTGGTGATCCAGTTAATATCAAATATACAGATACAATATATACAGTTCACACAATGTAAATGAATAAAACGTGATTAAAAACAACAGGTAATGGATCTGAAGTAGTGAACAGCTCCTCTGTATTAGGGCTATAACTGTGTGTGAGGCTCTCTGTCTCTCTCTCAATTCAGTTTCAATCCACTTCAGAGGGCTTTATTGGCAAAGAAAACATACATAGGGGAGAAAGTGGGGGTAAGATGAGCCATTTTATTCATATTTCGGATCACTACATCAAGGCAATCATAGTTTTGTCTCTAACTAGTTTATCTGCATATATTTCAAGATGTTGTGCATCCATGCAAACCAACAGAATGAGTGTAAACAGAACTGTCTTGATAATATAGCATGCAAAAAAGAAGTGTTCTTTGGTCAACTTGTGTATGGGGTAAGTTGGCTCAACTTGCCCCAGAACTACCATTATGATTTTATTAGTCCTCTGAGCTAAAATGGTGGACTTTTATGCTCAGTTTTGTGACCTCATGTAGCTCATAGATACCACAATTGATGTATAAATCAAATTTAAAATGATCTTTTTTGGTCTGAACACAATTCTAATAAAACTTATGACAGACTAAATTCACTTTCAAAAGTGAAAAATGTTTTTTTGTAAATAAATGTCTCACCCCTTCACACATTAGCCTGGCTGAGCCATCCTGTTGCGTGAGTCACTTGATGTTCCTGAGACGTCAAGTGACTCACGCAACAGGATGGCTCAGCCAGGCTATTCACACATGTGCTTCTAACCTTCACAGACTCCATGAAGTGATGCCCATCTCCTAAATATTTGGTCACATGATCAATTTCTATTAACATTTCCAAGAAACAGGGGGTGGCTCAACTTACCCCATTCTCCTCTACATATACACTGCTAAAGCAAGTGAACAAAACAAATAAAGGCAACAAATTTATAAAAAAGTACAAATAATTACACATAAGAAATGACTCTGCTCCTTAAAAAATAACAGTGTGAAAATTGTAACAGGCAGCTTTAGGTAAATTGTATGTATCGTTGGGTGTATGGACACAATTAAAGTTACACAACTCTCTCTCTCTCTCTCTCTCTCCCTCTCTCTCCCTATCACGCGCACACACGCTCATTTATCCACACGAGGCCACGCCTCTTTAGTTACTCACACATCAACATGGCGGCGTGCGGGAAGACGGGACGAAACAGGAGAACTATTTCTGCCCTTTCTCTGGTTATTTTCCTTCAGCTATTCGCCAGCCAGTGCCTGTCGGCTCCTGTAAACAACACTACTCCAGGTACGTTGAGTTGGTGTGAATTATTTGAGACTGAATGCTGTTTTTAAAACCAACCGCCGGAGCTGCTTGCTAGCTACCCTGTCTATCCTGGCAGCTAGTGGGGCTAGTTCGTCCTGCTAGCAGCGAGGGTGTCGGGTGAAGGAGAGCTCTCTGTGACCCAATATTCAGAATTTACACAGGAGGAACGGTAACATTAACTTGTTTGGGCGTTATACATGAATATCTTTCGTGTGTATTTAAATCAAAGCGCTTAAATTTGCCCTCAAATGGCTTCTTACTCATAACCAGAAGTTGTAGTTGTTGTTGGTGGTTTACTGGAGTGCATCATATTGAAGGTTGCTCCTACTACTTCACTCCTTATGTTTGTTAATGATATAGACTAAACATTAAAGACAACTCTCCAGTCACTTCTTCAATAATAATAAACATGGAATATAATAACCACCTGCTTTCTTACAGCAGTAATTACGGTAGACCTGTCGTGTCAGATTACATTAGATTACCCAGGTGTTTATGGTATAATGGGCCGGTTGGGGTAGTTAAACCTGTGTTGCCAAATTCTTGAGAAAATGCCATTGTCAGTTAGTGTAAGTATCTACTTTGTGATGCCCTGCAGGGTTCCCTGAGCTGTACAGATTTGTGGTGGTCAGATAAGGTGACTTGTTCCAGATGTCCTTGTCATATATCAGAGCTGTTAACTGACCCTCCCCTGTCAGCCCACCACTCTTACTGCTCATTATAAACAAACCTTTGAAGTGAACCATTGGGAAACTGCAGTAAAGGCGGTGATAATGACTTACAGACAGGTTCAGTCTCGCATGAATGGACTTTGACTTCTGTTTTTGTTTTCTCAAATCTCTTAGATTAGGGTCAGCAGTGTGGATTTCTTGGCTTGTTTCCTCCATTCTTCTCAAAATAAAGAGCGTATGTCCTTTTAGGCTGCTCAGGTTGCAGCATTATTTGTTAGGTACGAGCTAGTCTATAGTATCTGGCCTATTTCTCTGTCACAAGTACCTTTTTGAACAGCTTGATGCACTGAAACCACTCAGAAACATGCAATAGACTTTTTAATAGAATTTTTATCATCTGTCATTTCTCTGTATCAAGATTTTTTCATGTTGTCTTCTAACCTGACATCTGTAATGACACCTCCTTTCCCCTGCTATATCCCTTAATAGCCTGGAAACCCTCAAGTATCTGACAACAGCATTCACTGTTAGAAAAATTTAATCTTTTTTGCAAGAATTCAAGGTCAGAAAAATGTTTTATGTGGTGATGGTGCCAAGATTTAGGTACCCTGTTGAAGCGTTTGTAAATGGATGTCCTCTCAAGGTTGAATTAGGTATCTTTGGTACCTGGAAGGAGAAAAACAAACAAGGATGTTTATACAAAGGGAGGATGGCCTGATCTTGGTGAACCGCTTGCTGGCTAAGTGTTTATTTAGGCTGTAGTAAAAACATTAAAATGTCAATTGTGTCGTTGGCTGGTTTGTTGGATGATTTTAACAGTATTAAGGTTGTAGCCACACTCAAAAATCATGGATTCATGTGTACTTCAACTTCTACAAGTGGAAGATTGGTACATGGTGATATTACAGAGATGTTATAAACATGCCAAGTATCAAAACATTATTCAAGAGTTAAAAGCTGGTCAAGCGTTCTGCTAAGCTTATAACTCTGGCTGCCACAAAGATCTCCTGTTCGGTGATTATTTATGCAGGCCATGGCTTATGTGTATGAATAGTTCCTTTCTTCTCTTGGGGATGACTTTCCTCATGCCTCAAGTCCCTAGTGTTCTCCTCCCGTCCCTGCCTCAGCAACACCTCCCTCTCCCACAGGATGAAATGATGTTGACACTCCCTGGCTAAATGGTGTCATTGATTCAGGAGGGCTGGCCAAATACATGCGACTGAGTCAGAATATGCCTTCACGGAAGAGATCCTTTTAAATTGTAGCACACCATTATTTTACTTTTCTCTTTCTCCCATTATTGCAACTTTTATAGACCTGGTTAATGGTTGACTTGACATGTCTACTTCTTTTGGAAGATCTGCCAGACTAACTGAGAGTTCAGTGATGTGTAAGGAGCCCAATATGGTGCTGGTGATCAGTTATTCATGGACTAAACCTTCTGAAATAGACACTGTTTGGGGATTAACATAAATATAGCGTGGCCATTTGAAGAAGAAAATGATGTAGTTTTGTGTGAACATCTTAAGTTTTTATAAACTGGATTTTCCCAGGGACACCCAAGGGCGTGGCTAATCCCTGGACAATCATTACCGTCCCATTTGTCTCTTTATATAATGCAAACATTGGTAACTGCTTTACTAGTCCAGTTATACATGCAATGGGAAATATTTATAATTGCACATCTTAATCTTGAGTTATTATCCAGGAAGCGTATCATTTTCCAGCTGTCAACTGCTATGGTACAACTTTTACATTCAGGCAGAGTCACAGTCAGTGTATTAGTTTTGAGCTGTGTACAGCCTTGGAAAGTTTCATCTATTTGCTCTGTGTCGAACTGTTTGTTTAAATGACACAATGCAGCCAAATCCAGTATTTACCCAGACCTTGATTTAAAAGAAATAATGTGGTGAGATGTCCAAGGCTTTAGGAGATAATTTACACACATGATCACCTTTTGTTTTAAAATTAACAAACTTATATATTGTGACTTTTGACTTTGGGATTTTTGGCAGATTGTTAGTGAATGCATCTTTCTAAACAAACAAGCTGTTGTTACGTATGAGTATTTGGCAACTCTCTTTTGGCATCAGTGGAGTTAACCACACTTACCCAAGGGTATTTAGATATTAGTCGACAACAGTGAGAGGAAAGGTTCATTAAAGGAGTCAGGCATCATAACATCAAAAGTTGAGAAGTGACGTGAGAACTTTTAAGTAGGGCCCAACCGATATGGATATGGAGGAGGGGGAATCAAATTTTTTAATGAAGTTATAAAAAATATATAGTATACTGTAGATATCTACAGAATATGTATATGTATATGTACTGTTGTTTATTCTACCGTTACTGGCACGGCTAACGGTGTAGCAAGGCTAACAGCAGGTGGCTAACTCTAACTTTAGCTTGCATATTACATGGTGCTTCACCGTTAACTCGGCGTGACCCAGACCAGCACATCGGGGAACATGGTGAAGTGGGTTGAACTGAAACTTGTTGACTTATTGTGTATTTCACAAACTGGTTTATTTACCGTTGAGGCGGACCACTCTCCTCTGTGCGTCCCTGAGCTGCCTGCTTCAGATCCATCACTCTGCTGTGCTGTGAGGAAGTTAGTGGAGGAAGATTGTCATGAGGTCGCTGCGCCATCTACAGGATAAGTCGGGGAACTTTTCAAATGGTGGAACATTTTTGAAGTGAACCGAATCTTATTTTCTGCATTTTATTTCTGAAAATATTGGCGACAATCTGCGAGTTTTGGCCGATTACCGATTAGTCTCAAACAGGCTAAAATTGGCTGATAAATCAGTCGGGCCCTATTTTTAAGGTACTTTTTTCTCACTATTATTTTGTAACTCCATGTTAAATGTCTTGCACTTTTGTTTCCTCTTACTTTTCAGAGAAGGACGTCAATACCCAGGGGCCTGAAACACCTCAAAGTCTACCCGCTTTAAGCACCACTATAAACAAGGAAGGCCCAAATTCTTCAACACCTAAACAGAGCGTGGCAATGTCAACGGGACCTGAAAACCCTACAACATCTGCTGGCAATGACTCCACAACAACAACGGAAGTAAAAGCCCTGAAAGATAACAGCACTTTGACAGCTAATCAATCGAAAACATCAGAAGAGAACCAGGAAACAAGTCAGATGTCCACTTTTGAAGAATCTGAGAAGAAACAAGTATCAACCAATGATAGCAGCCAGGTCACAGTTCCAAAGGAGGAAAAACCAGTAACACCCAAAGCCGTGCCAACTGTTAAACCTTCAGTTTCTGCTACCACGACAACCTCAACTCAAACATCCAAATCCACAACCACAAGCGCCAAACCCCCCCGTCCTGCTGATGTAGAGGAGCTAGACTCTAACATGAAAACCTCCAACTCTGTGAACCAGCCCACTGTGCAGGGGACAAATCCTGGCCCCACTGCCAACGGACCACCTATCAATAGTTACACAGATGAAGCAGATGAGGACGACGAAGATGATGAGGATGATGGTAACTATTTGGAGAGTGATGATGACGATGCCGTGTATGAAAGCAACAACAGCCTCAAGGAGGAGACTGTGAACAGGCTGCAGAGGCCAGAGGGGATCGTGGTGACCCATTACAAGGAGACGGACAGCTACAACACGGAGGATCAGGACTCTCACTTCTTCTTTCATCTGGTCATCTTAGCTTTCCTGGTGGCCATCGTTTACATCACCTATCACAACAAGAGGAGGGTGAGTAATCTGCAAAAACTGAAAGGAATATATTCCCCATATTATTTCCTTTATCTCTTTAAGATGCGAAGTTCACATACTCTGGTATAAACTCTAATACTAGAACAAAATTTCGGTAAATTTGGACCTGTGTGAATCATAGTAACTGTACTAAACAAATGTAAAGATAGGTTATTTGGCGAAAAGGAAAAATCATAGACAGGTTTAAATATGAGACCACACTTTTTTATGCTCCAATCCACTCCACTTAATTTATATAGCACAATTAAAAAAACTATTAAGTTTGGCAAAGTGCTGCACAGTGCAATAAAATAAGTTAAAAACACACAGAACATGAAATGTTAAAATAAATGAATCATAAAAAAACACTTTAAAATTAAACAATAAAGAATTTGTCAGAGTGAGACTGAGGATCCCGCAGACCAGTCGAGAGTATTTCCTCAATCACACAACTTTACAAATAGAAGAATGTGACAAAATACATAAGAAACAGCCTCGGCATGAAAGTGGTTTCAGCTAAAAAAACCCTGCGGTTTGTTTGAATGTCTGTGAAGTAGATTGTGACAAAATGCGAAATCACTATTCTGGTGAGGATCACTGCTCGGTGAATTTTTTTTTTTCCTCAAAGTAAAAGTTCTCCCTCCATCCAATCTGCAGAGGAAGGTTTTATGTTATACATTATGCTGACCCCGTGTAAATTGGGGTTTTACAGCTGAAGTAAAGATTCCAATTATGCAGTCTTTCATCTCTTCTGCGGGGAGTAATTTCACTTGATCAGCACTTATACATCTATTAGATTTAATTTGATTTCCATCTCTCTTTTCTTACATTTTTCTTCTTTTCAGATCTTCCTCCTGGCTCAGAGCCGGCGCTGGAAAGACGGCCTGTGTTCCCGCAACACTGTCGAGTATCACCGCTTGGACCAGAATGTTAACGAGGCCATGCCGTCCCTCAAGATGACCCGAGACTACATCTTTTGATCCATGCTCAGCATAAGAATATGTCCAGACCTGAGATGAGCCGGCTGACCATCCTGGCTGGCCGGTCACATTGTAGAGATGCTTGAAGCTTGATCGATGCTTTCTCTTGCTTTACAGGCCAACTGGAGAGCAAGGGCTAAATTTTATTGTCCAGGGTCTTTTTGTTGCACGCATAGAGAGATTTTAACTGTTTATATGTTATTCTCATTTGTGATATTATTTTGATATTATTTGTATTTTTCTAAATTAATAACGTCTTTAAATTTATGTCTATATCTTTACTGGAGGTCTATATCTGTCTTTCTCTTTGGAAATTTCAGCCTTAAGTCCTTTTGACGTCTTTCTTGATTTTCTTTCTGCACATGGTCTTTGTTTAAATACATGAAATGTTTATATGAATTAGGTGACACACTAATGCTTTGTTTGAAGAGATGATTGTTGATAATTGCTTTCTCCCTGCAAGATATGAATCACCTAACAACACATTTGCTGTGTTGTAAATATTTTTTAAATTAAAAATAGGGGTTTAAAAATGATTGAGTGTGTATATATCTACACACATACAGTGGTCTGTTAAACATCAAACATAAAGGAACGAAACTCTATAAAATTAAGAAACTTTGAGAAAATGTTTGAAACATTTGAAGTCAAACTTTCCCTTTATATTCCCAGAAAATTCCTTTATATTTCCTGACACCAGAATCACACCTCAGCAGTTTGAAAATGTGATTCAAACTTGAGCTGAAAAGCCTTTCTGTTTGATCTTCACGTATCTAAATGATCTAAAGGACGTTAAAACCCTTTGTCACGTTTGGAAATGAAGCTGCACCGAAAGCATGAAGTCAGGCAGGCTGATAAGTCCTTGAGTTAGGGGTCTGTTTATGTGCTTAGGCCATTAAAATGAAGACAGTAATTTAAATTAACTAACAGTCTATGGGAGCAGCTCTATAATCTTCCCTTTTTTTCTATTTATGTTTAACTTCTTTGTTGCTGTACATCTTGTACTCCTTCTGCCCAGATTTTGCCATGCAGAAATCTCGGGGCTGGCCCTCTTTGTTTTATGACTTCGGTGAAGTCTCTATCAATCATTTATGGTCTTCATTGTGGCAAAAATTATCGTCTGTTTCTCCTCTTGTAAGCATTGTATTATTAATGTGTACTCACCACATGTCAGGGAACATTTAGATGGACTGGCATCTCTCTTGATGAGAGGTACTGCATGTTGTGTTTGGCCTTATGTGCACACGAGCAACAAGAAACAACAGCTCTCCTGAGCTTATACCCCCCTCTATGAATCTCCACTGTCCGTCTCAGCCACATATTGTTCACTGCTACCATCACATGCCTTCAGTTGAAATGCCATAACTGCCACATTGATCCACACTTGTTTTTTAATCAATCTCTTGTCGCCTTAGTTGTTTTTCAGCTGTCTTGTTAGTAAACAGTACACAGAGGGAAGATGGATAATGCGATTTGCACTGTACTGCTCTGTCATACAGGTGAGAATAATAGAGGAGATGTCCTGTGTAGACGTGATGGATCGACACTGCTCTTGCAATCAACAGTAGAAATTCTCATTTTTTTTGTCAATAAAGCACAAATTGTGTACAAGAACCTTCAGCTTTTCATTTATTTGATTAATACTCTGGATTTGACCTTGTGACACGTCAAAGCATATTAAGTTTCTGCTAAAAGTTTACTGCTGCTCCTGACATTCAGAAGCAGTTATTGAAGAAAACCACAAGGAGGCAGTGTAGGCACACAGATGACTCCCATGCTATTTCTTCTTTCAGTGTCCTTTAATTCGTTAAAAGTCAGGACTGTTGCCACAGGCACAAAGCAGCGAGCACATACAAGTGTGGTCCAACAGCACATCAATATTCTGATGGAACAAACAGAAAATGTTGAAATACAGCCGTGTCGTCTTTCTTCTCGGTGTGACACAAGTAACAAGGCAGGCTGATAAGAGTTTGAGCCTTTTAGCATTTGAAAAAGTGGAAAGCTATGATTAACAAGAATGTCAGCAATGATTAAAAAAAAAGTGATTTTTTTCTGCTTACAGAATCTTCAATGTCACTTACAGGACAGATTCAGGCATGTCTGACTTTGGAAGTTTGCAAACAACACAGTGGATGACAAATGTGATGTCTATGGCTGTCCTGTTTTGATTAAAGGCTGCCACTGTCTGCTCCTTCTGCAGAATAAATCCTTGTGGACTAAAGACCTAAATTTACTGCCTGGTCTGAAACTAACAAGAATCATTTGATTCATTCAACAGCAAAACCTAAGAGATCTGATAAATGTGCAACCAAAAACAAAGAATTTACATGCATTTTGGATGTAGGTTTTATGCTTTTATAATACAAATACTGACAATTTCTGACTCCCTTCGACTGATTACAAATGTATGCACACTATGCGTACTTTAACACCTCCTACAAGAGATCATGGGTCTCTCCTGAAGTTGTCCTGACTGACCCTGATGCTTTCTCCTGTTGTGACAGGCCTGGGTATATGCAGAGATATAATCCAAACCATGTAGAGTTTCAATAATCATCTTATCAGTACAGATTTAAAAAATTGCAATGCAACTGGAGATGCCGTTATTACTAATGACGTATTGGGATCTTCAACTGTCAAACATTTCCTATCAAAAATCTCAACAGAGCAAAGCTTGAGATATTTTTCACAATTTCCAGCCAACATTAAGTTTGATTTTCTAAACTCTAAACTGATCCTTCAGCAGTTTGAAAGAATGAGGTTTTTCCTCTCTGCTGTCCTATCATACCATCTCCTTTGAGACACCAAGCTCTACCTGCCTATTTAAGACAGCTCAGCTGCATGTAAAAACCTCTTCCAGGTGCCTAAAATGTAAAAATCTGAATGAAAAAGCAGCAGAAGATGGCTGCTGGGTGCATGTTATCAGTAGATAAGGTAACCAGGCTTTGTGGATATTTGTAGAAAGTTATGCCAGGAGAATCTGTCTGAGAGACAGCAGCAAATGAAATCTACCAGCCGGAAAAAAATCACAGTTGCCTTTGATCAGTGAAGGGTGAAAATCTTGACAATTGTTATAGAAGAGCTTTTGAAGAGGGTTTGATAACTATTATCAGAAATTTCTCAAAATTCCTCCCTTCATGAAATATATTTTCAGACTCTTCTGGGTCAAAAACGGGGTTTTCGGTTGTATACAGGCTCTTTTTATTCGTTAGCAACAATTTCACATCCATTCTAATCCAGTCCAAACAATTATTTTATCTGTTCATGTATGTTTAAGCCTTTAACCTTCGATGAAATACCCCCAAAGACCTAGTGGCAAAGTAATATTGAATGATTTTTTTAACGACATGTTTTTTTCTGCATTTACCATCTACACTTAACAAAATACCTCTTCTGGTGATTCTAAAAACATGAATACGGACAAATGGAAAATACAATGATTTCATTCAAATTAGGAGTCATGATGTGTTCTCGCGAGATTTACTGATTACCAAACACGTTCTCGACGGACTCACCTGAAGCACCGGAAAGTTGACTGTTACCCCCTCAGGCCAGCGACAAACCTCTGGATTATAATGCGGCTGTCGTGGTGGAATAAGATTTATAATGAACATGGAGACGATGACCGCTAACAGGAGCCGTTTTAATACGGTAAGAAAGCCGTCTTAAACCCGAGCAGACAGCTTCTGATACTCCGGGCTACCGTTTGGTTTAGCGAGTAGGCAGTTCGCGGTAAAGTGTTTTTTGGACGAACCTGGGAGGGATACTCCGGCGTAAAATTAAGTTCGGTTCAAACACACTGCAACACCGAGTTGGACACCCCCTCGGGAGATGAATGTTGCCGACTGCTTGCTTCTCTAGTTGTACCAACGGAGACTTCCGGGTGAGCCCAGCCCAGCGGGGTGACGCAGCTCAAGGAAGAACATCTATGATCATTTCCTCATCTATCTGCAGTACGAAATGATTAATATGATGATTATTACTCAAAGTAATCATTATTAATGTTCTTCCTTGAGCTGCTGCAGTTGATGAACTCGCCCGGAGGTCTCTGTACAAACAAGCGGCTGCTGGAAGAGAGTGGGTATCCCTTGAAGATGTAATAGCACCAAATGTGACTTTGGCTGAAGTCAGAGTTAGTTATTCCAGCTATCAAGTTAATGTCTATAGGCTACCTTATAATTTGCTTTACTGTGTGATGTTTGTATTTTTCTGATATAACTGCACTTAAACAGCCTATTTAGTGTTAAATTAGGGTAAATGGTGTTTGTAAAAATGTTTGAATTTAAATAAAATGATGAGGTACACGAAGTGTAGGCTACTTTTAGTTTACAGATGAAGGTTATCTTTCACTAACTTCTTCCCATGGTCACCACGAAACAAACAGCTGAGTGATAAACTCAACCTGCAGTTCGGCTAGCTTTACAAGGACAGTTCCCACAGCTGGAGTGTGCCTTTTTTTCCCCTCATTGTAAAACTATCCATCAATGACAGTTCTGAATAGATATTGATTGATTTTACTTGTCTCTAATAACTTTTAGCACCTGCTGGATTTGGTTGCTCCTCTTTTAATAACCCCATTCCAGCAGGTATCAGTTTTTCACAGATTTGTCAATATATCGAGTGTCAGGGGACCTGGAGGTATTGCAGATAAAAAAGCTGGGATAAAGCCAGAGCTCATCAAAGCACATGCTGTATATTAGCTTCAACCTCAATAGAAGAGGTCAAGGGGAAGACTGACACTGTAGAGAAACAGAGAGGCCTGGAGTCACTGTATGCACAACATGATCATTTTTGTTCATTCAGGAAAAAAAGCAATCACCATAAAATCTGCAGTATAACTCAGTCAGGCACAGAAGGTTTTAACTGTCCTCATGTGTATACTACTGTTTTCTTTAACTGCATTAACAGTCACAACACCAGCCTGGCCTATGTTGCTTTGTGTTTGTGAGCTTTGCACAGTGAGACAGCTATTTGCAGTACACTGAAGCGACACAAGTTTCCAGTGGTGTCAGTTCTTGGGTACCAGTATGACTGTTCCTCCAGCAGCCATACTGGTGCATGTCTATGATAGAGCTTTAGCTAGATTTTAGCACCATCTTCTGGGTAAAATACTGCAACGCAAGAAAATACCATACTTTGTATTGCAGACCAGTATTACTAGCATTACATGTCAAAGATCCAAACACTTTGCAGAGAGATAGGTCCAGGGAGAATCTGTTCATGCTGTGACCTGAACCTAAAAGTTATCATAAAGATTCTCATAACAATAAATGTGTCCACTGCCAGAGCTGCAAAAATGAATCCAAGGAATACAGTGACTGAACAACTAGTTTTACTTGCACACATAAACATCCATCAGGATATTTGATTTTATACCAAAGCTGTTGTTATAAAACAGGAAGGTGCAGAATTAGCTCGACATTGTTGGGAATGCAAACAGGTCTTATTATCTCACCCAGCTTTTCAAGTGTTGCATAATATTAGCACTCAAACGCCCATTATTTAGCTGGCTGTTTGTCAGGCTTTCTGGCTTGTCTTAGAAAGGATACAGCAGGTTAATCAGAGTTTTACAGGGTTGTGTTGGTGCCAAAAAGCTAATGCTGGCACTCACTCACTCACTAAGTAGACCACTTTTGTGCACCTGTGATAAGTGAGATATTAAACATGATCAACACACAGGCAGATGGCTCTAGTGTGCACTGTGAAATATAATCCTATCTGTGCAACAGTTTCAAAGTGTCTTGTTTGTTATGTATTGTTTCATAAAAGAGAAAGGAGAAATGATGGCCAAAGAATAGGACAGAGTAATTCAGTCAGCTCAGCACCTGGACATCAATAAAACAGTTTATTATCGCTGGTTGTGTTCTTGATATTGTGCTGTCCCTGCAGCCCCTAATGCAACTTTTAAAAGAACTTTTATGGCGGGACAGGAGGAACTATAATGATGTTGTTTATGGGGACTGAGGGAAATTATTTTTAGGTAGGGAGACCAAATGAGTATCTGTCTCCACTCATCTCGTCTCGTCAAGATGCCCTTGACCCACAAATGATCCCATTTAGCAAGACAGCAGCCACCCAGAATATGCAGCTGTAAAAATGTTCAGTGGTGAAGTGTGTTTGTGTGTGTTTGAGTGTGTGAGCGCGCAGTGTGTGAGTATTTGTGTGTGGTTATTCTGTCTCTCAGCCCTCAGTGATTGAGACCAAAATAGATAGCTGAAAAATGCCAGAGTACAAATGAGAAGAAGAATGTCTTTTTTGGAGTTTTACCAAAGCAACAGAACGTTGTTCGGTAGTTCATCAAGAAAATATCTTTATCATTATACCGTTAAAATACAACATTTATTTATACATTATCATCAATACATCATGGACTCAGAACCCTTTTAAACCACTGCTGAGATTTAAAGGAATATCTATCTATCTATCTATCTATCTATCTATCTATCTATCTATCTATCTATCTATCTATCCATCCATCCATCCATCCATCCATCCATCCATCCATCCATCCATCCATTAGGGCCCAATTTAAGCCCGCTACAGACTAATCGGTAATCGGCCAAATCTCGCAGATTTTCACCGATATTTTCAGAAATAAAATGCGGAGAATAAGATTC